TGTTGGCTAAAAATTTGAATGAGTTTGAGAAAATTTGAATGAGTTTGAGAAACACTGAAAAATGGTATGTGGAAAAAAARTTCTTGTGTCTATCTTCGATCTCTTACCATCAAATCTTCCTCTTGGTATGTCATAATGTAGAATATGAACCTAATTAAAAAGCTAATTGCTAATAAAAAATTTACAATAACGAATCATAATTTTTATTTTTACAAAATACATTTACATCTACACACAATCATTATATAACACATATCTCCACATCAATATCACAAATTGATAATAGCAAATTATAATTTTATTCTTACAAAATATATTTGAACCCGCACACGGTGCGAAAAATCATCTAGTTGGATTATATATACTAAATCTTATCAGAAATTTGAAATCTATACCAAATTTATCAAACTTTGAAAAGTACTATATTTTGTTATTTGAAATGATAGTTTTATCTTTAGTTAAAAAAAAACTTAAAAAAAAATGATTTGATTTTTCCAACTTTTATTGAAATTTTTATTTATAATCTTTAAAAATTTTAGATAATAATTAATTTAAATTACAGTATACTTTATATTAATTTAAATAAAATTACCAATTGATATTTTAAAAAAAATTACAAATTGATTTTAATTAATTTTATGATTTACAATTTAATTAGTTTAGAAAATAATATGTTATGTCGATGAACATAAAAATTAAATCAATGGTTTAAACAAGTCGATAGAGTAAAAATTTAACCAAACAAAATATAAATCGGTAGTTTAATCGATGAATACAAAAATTTAAGTCGACGAACTAAAAAAATAAGTCAGTGGTTTAAATAAGTCGATAACTTAAAATGTCAATCAAACGAAATATAAGTCAACAGTTTAAAATAAGTCGAAGAAGCTGAATATTAAGTCGACGAACATAAAAATAATAAATCAACTGTATAAATAAATCAACAAAGTAAAAAATCAACCAAACAAATATAAGCCGACTGTGTAAATTAAGTCAATCTTTATTTTTTAATTTAATAAATTTTTTTAGTTTTTAGACATTGATTACTAATATAGTAAGTTAAATATGTATAAGTGTGTTTACGTACTTTTATATAACAAAAATGTATAGTTTTTCAAATTTGCAAAATTAAATGTAGTCTTCAAATTTTTATTAAAATTTAAGGTATTTATCTAAATCCTCATGAATAAACAGCTCGACTAAACACTTCATTTAGCGCATTTCTAATGTTTTCTTAATTAAAATATTCTATTTTCTGTTTTAATCTTGCATTTTGGTCTAAAGATAAATGAACGCTCCACTAAACACTTCAAGACTTCATTCATTCTTTATAAGAATTACAAATCTAGCAAACTCGTTCCTCTACAATTTA